GGGGGCAGCGAGGCTCCGCGGAGCCCGGGTGCCTCCGGCCGCCCTGCTCACCCCGCGCGCGGCCTGCCGCCTCCAGGTGGTCCACCGGGACCTGAAGCCCAGCAACATCCTGTACGTGGACGAGTCCGGAAACCCGGAGTCCATCCGCATCTGCGACTTCGGCTTCGCCAAGCAGCTGCGCGCGGAGAACGGGCTGCTCATGACGCCCTGCTACACGGCCAACTTCGTGGCCCCCGAGGTGAGCCCGGAGCCGGGCCCGCAGACCCCCCCGCGGCCTCCCTCCAGAGGCTGCGGGCAGCCGGTGACCAACCTGACCCCAGAAAAAACGACCACAGGCTGTGTGTGGAGGGGGCTGCGTCCCGGGACCCTGCCAGTCCTCGGCTGCGAGCAGCATTCGTTTCCACTGGGAAACCTGCTTCCTTGTTAGGAGTGAGCGATGGCACCTGGACCAGGCGTGGGGCTGACCTGGCCAGTGCCCGGGCCTGCCTGTGCCCAGGCCTGCCTGTGCCCGGGCCTGCCAGTGCCCGGGCCTGCCTGTGCCGGGGCTGGAGGCCGGGGGCTGGAGGCTGGAGGCGTCTTGTACTGTTAGCTCTCACTTGAGCGTTTTGTCAGACCAAAGCCAAACTTGCTGACGCTTGGTTTAAGTCTACTGGGGCTCCGTAGTGATTTGCAGCTGGGCCCCTACCTTCCAGGGGCCCACCTCAGGCCTCTGCCCCCGCCCCTCCTCCCGTCCCCCGAGGTCTGGCCTCTGGGTCTGACACCACCCGCCTGCTTCTGGCGGGCACCAGAGCTGAGTGGAGGAGCTGGGTGGCGGGGGACCTTGCTGACCGAGGAGGGCGGGCCCTCCCTCCCGGGGTCCGAGGGGGGCGGGCCCTCCCTCCCGGGGTCCGAGGGGGGCGGACCCTCCCTCCCGGGGTCCTAGGACGGCGGGCCCTCCCTCCCGGGGTCCGAGGGGGGCGGACCCTCCCTCCCGGGGTCCGAGGGGGGCGGGCCCTCCCTCCCGGGGTCTGAGGACGGCGGGCCCTCCCTCCCGGGGTCCGAGGGGCCGGACCCTCCCGGGGTCCAAGGAGGACGGGCCCTCCCTCCCGGGGTCCGAGGACGGCGGGCCCTCCCTCCCGGGGTCCGAGGGGGGCGGGCCCTCCCTCCCGGGGGTCCGAGGGGGCGGGCCCTCCCTCCCGGGGTCTGAGAGCTGCTCTGTGAGAGGCGTGCTCAGCAGGTGCCTGAAGATGCCCACTGAGAGCAGGGCGGGCCCTGGTGGGGGGGGGGAAGCCCACAGCCCCTGGTGCGCAGCGCAGCACTCCGTGGACGCACCAGGGCGCTGGAGGTTCCCGGGCGCTCGGCAACCTGGGAGACCGGCCTCAGCCCTGTCAGGGTCGGGCAGCGTTGGTGCCCGTGGTGCTGCACAGAGGAGGACTTCCTCAGTGCTCAGCATGCAGCAAAGCAGAGCACACACGCGTGCGTGTGCACACACAGACACACGCACACTCCCAGGAGCCAGCAGTCCTCACAGAGGTGGCTGATGACACTTTGGCCGCAGCTTCAGAGCAGTTCTTGTGCTGAGCCTGTGCAGGCGTCTGGGCGATGAGGGTCAGGCCGGCCAAGCCCGACACAAGCTCTTGTGAAGTAGCTTTGCCATTTGCCCAGCGATGCAGGTCTTAACCTCAGCTCTTACACCAGGCAGAGTTACCGGGCCACTGAGGTCGGGACGTGACTTGTAGAGCTCACGCGGCCATGGGCTGTGGAGCTGGTGCTTGAACGGAGCGCTCAGGGCCCACGGAAGGGGCACAGGGGCCAGGCCTCACCTCATGAGAGGCTGCCCACCCACGTCCAAGCCACGTCCCCATTCCACGGGGGTCTGTGACGGTCTCTGCTGCCCCCTCAGCTGTCAACACATCAGCACACAACGCTCCACTGCCCTGAGTGGTCCAAGGACGCATTACAAAGTCCTCATTTTAAACTCCACACACAGAGAGGAAAACCAGGCGCCATGGTAAACACCTGTAGTCTCAGCCATTAGGGCCACTGGACCTCAGAGGTTCGAGTGGTCCGACCTCGGGAACATGGCAAGACTAATCTCAAAAAAGAAAAATCAGGGCTGGGAAGGTGGCTTCGTGGTAGAGTGCGTGCCTAGCGCGCATGAGGCCCTGGGTTCGATTCCTCAGAACCATATAAACAAAAATAAATATAAAAAATTAATTAAAAAAAACCCCAATGTGTAACGGTGACACTCAGCCACTCCCATCGGGCTCCAGTCCTGAGGGGTGAGGTGTCTGTCCGCCGATCGCCACAGCAGCCACCATCGTCCTGGAGTAGAAGTGGCAGTCTCCATCAGTGGAGGGGTTTGCAAACGGAACGTGTGCATGTGTGCACACACCTGGAATACTGTTCACAATAGAATGCTTCCCAGCCTTTATCTTCTGTGTGTGCCAGAGCTCAGAATCTGGACCTCTCACTGGACTCTTTTTTTGTGCAAGGCTGTCTCTCTACCACTTGAGCCACAGCTCCACTTTGAGCCTTATGGTGGTCAATTGGAGATAAGAGTCTCATGCACTTTCCAGCCCAGGCTGGCTTCAGACTGGGATCCTCAGATCTCAGCCTTCTGAGTGGCTAGGATGACAGGCGTGAGCCACCGTGCCCGGCTCTATTCATCTTTAAAAGAAAGGGAATGCTGAGGCACCCCGGCTGGGTGGGCTGGGCACACAAAGGCAGAGCCTGGGGTTCTGGGGTGCTCAGCTTCAGGGGCACCAAGGTGGAGCGCATGTGGAGCACACGCACCGCGAGGGCGTGGAGGGCCTGGGAGGCGTGGGTCAGCCGCGATCGGGGTGCACTGTGCTCAAAGTCTGGCATGTTGAGTGAAGTGCCTTTCTATAGCCACTTACTTTCTTTTTAATGAAAAGAACTGAGGGTAGAATGGGGTTGGCGTGTGGGAGGTGGCAGTGAGCGGGGCAGAGGCCGGAGGGCTGTTTGGGGGCAGCGGTGGATAGTGAACTGCTCGCTTGACAGGGCCAGCATGGAGCTGCGCCCGTGGCTCAGGCCCACCATCTGAGCTACTCGGGAGGCTGGGGTTGGAGGATGGGGTTTGAGGTCAATGCAAACCAACCAATAAGAAGCTGGGTGTGGTGGGCCATACCTCTCACCCCCGCTGCTCAGGACACAGAAGTCAAGAGGGTGACTGTCTAGTTCTGACCAGGTGTAAACAGGAAACCCTATTTTTGAAATAATAAAAGCAAAGAGGGCAAAGGACGTGGCTCAAGTGGTGAAGCACCTCCCTAGTCCTGAGTTCAAACCTCATCCTACTAAAAGCAGAGTCAGAAGACGGGAGACCTGGATTTTTATGTGTAGATCTTCAGTCTTAAAGCTGTGTGGCGGGCACCGCGTTTGCCTTCTGCGTCTTGGTGGGCCGCTGCACCCTCGGAGACGGCCCCTGAGGGCCAGAGCGCCACGCTGACCCCGTCCATCTCCTCCCCAGGTCCTGAAGCGGCAAGGCTACGATGCAGCGTGCGACGTCTGGAGCCTGGGCATCCTGCTGTACACCATGCTGGCAGGGTAACGTGGCCAGGGGTGCGCGGCTGGGCGGCGAGGGGCCACACACGGGATCCCTGGGCTGGGTGCGCGCGCTCGGCCTCCACAGCCCCAGGACACCAACACGAGAAGAAGGCACTGTGAACTTCCCGTAGGCTCAGACCAGCCACAGAGCATTCGGGCTCCTGACCCAGCGCAATGCTCCCCTGTCCATCACTGACCTCAGCACAGTGCTCCCCTGTGCATCACTGACCTCAGCGCAGTGCTCCCCTGTGCATCACTGACCTCAGCGCAGTGCTCCCCTGTCCTTCACTGATCTCAGCGCAGTGCTCCCTGTCCATCACTGACCTCAGCGCAGTGCTCCCCTGCCCATCACTGACCTCAGCACAGTGCTCCCCAACCCATCACTGACCTCAGCGCAGTGCTCCCCTGTCCATCACTGACCTCAGCGCAGTGCTCCCCAACCCATCACTGACCTCAGCACAGTGCTCCCCAACCCATCACTGACCTCAGCGCAGTGTTCCCCTGTCCATCACTGACCTCAGCGCAGTGCTCCCCTGTGCATCACTGACCTCAGCGCAGTGCTCCCTGTGCATCACTGACCTCAGCGCAGTGCTCCCTGTGCATCACTGACCTCAGCGCAGTGCTCCCCTGTCCATCACTGACCTCAGCGCAGTGCTCCCCTGTCCATCACTGACCTCAGCACAGTGCTCCCCAACCCATCACTGACCTCAGCGCAGTGCCCCCCTGTCCATCACTGACCTCAGCGCAGTGCTCCCCTGTCCATCACTGACCTCAGCGCAGTGCTCCCTGTCCATCACTGACCTCAGCGCAGTGCCCCCCTGTCCATCACTGACCTCAGCGCAGTGCTCCCCTGTCCATCACTGACCTCAGCGCAGTGCTCCCCAACCCATCACTGACCTCAGCGCAGTGCTCCCCTGTGCGTCACTGACCTCAGCGCAGTGCTCCCCTGTCCATCACTGACCTTAGCGCAGTGCTCCCCAACCCATCACTGACCTCAGCGCAGTGCTCCCCTGTGCATCACTGACCTCAGCGCAGTGCTCCCCTGTGCGTCACTGACCTCAGCGCAGTGCTCCCCTGTGCATCACTGACCTCAGCGCAGTGCTCCCCTGTCCATCACTGACCTCAGCGCAGTGCTCCCCTGTCCATCACTGACCTCAGCGCAGTGCTCCCTGTGCATCACTGACCTCAGCGCAGTGCTCCCCTGTGCATCACTGACCTCAGCGCAGTGCTCCCCTGTGCATCACTGACCTCAGCGCAGTGCTCCCCTGTCCATCACTGACCTCAGCGCAGTGCTCCCCTGTCCATCACTGACCTCAGCGCAGTGCTCCCCTGTCCATCACTGACCTCAGCACAGTGCTCCCCAACCCATCACTGACCTCAGCGCAGTGCCCCCCTGTCCATCACTGACCTCAGCGCAGTGCTCCCCTGTCCATCACTGACCTCAGCGCAGTGCTCCCTGTCCATCACTGACCTCAGCGCAGTGCTCCCCTGTGCATCACTGACCTCAGCGCAGTGCTCCCTGTGCATCACTGACCTCAGCGCAGTGCATCACTGACCTCAGCGTAGTGCTCCCCTGTGCATCACTGACCTCAGCGCAGTGCTCCCCTGTGCATGATCACTGACCTCAGCACAGTGCTCCCCTGTCCATCACGGACCTCAGCGCAGTGCTCCCCTGCCAGCCATGCCGTCTTTGGGATGCGGCTAGGGGACTGGGGCCGGCTCTCCTGGGCTGGCCTCCGTGAACATCGGAGGCCTCAGTGTTCCGTGCAGGGCGGCTGGCCTGGGTGGAAGGCCCCACAATGGTGGAGCTCACGGCACCATGGCTCCCCAAGCAGCTTTACCCCCTTTGCCAACGGGCCGGACGACACCCCTGAGGAGATCCTGGCCCGAGTCGGCAGCGGGAAGTACGCGCTCTCCGGGGGAAACTGGGACTCCATCTCTGACGAGGCCAAGGTGAGCGCTGCTCCATTCCTCCTCCCCTCCCCCCATGCAAGCAAGAGGAAGCTTCCCGCAGGGGCCAGAGAGAGGGTTTGTACCTCACTGCCAAAAATGGCAAATGGTGACATGTCCCAAATTCTTTGTTCATTTTTCTCCAAAGAGAACTACAGGAGACACACACACACACACACACACACACACATTGTGCATCTGTACAGTATTTATTATGTCACATCTCCCCTTGGAAGGCTGTCATTTATATTAAAATAATGCTTCGTGTTTTACATGCACCATTTGCTATTTGCCCATTTAATTTCCCTTTGAATGTACAACATGGAATGAAAGGCAAATTGATACAACTGCTAAATAGTTATAATAGTTAAAACTTAAAAGTCATTCATAACCGGGTGCCAGGGGTGCACAACTATCATCTTAGCTGTCTAGGAGGCTGAGATCCAGTAGACCGCAGTTCTAGCACAGCCCAAGCAGATAAAGTCCACAGATTCCATCTCCAATTAGCCAGTCAAAACTCAAGAATGGAAGCGTGGCTCAAGTAGTAGAGCACCCGCCAAGCATGCAGAGAGCCCAGGATTCCAAACCCCAGGTTTTAAAAACTCCCTTCACATTCGCATGCTTACAAACCACACAGGGAAGTGCCGCAGAACAGCACTTCCCAGCCCATGTCCCGCCATGTCCCACCGAGCGCGAGCGCCTTGAGCAGCCTGTGCCCCTCCCCCTCCCAACCCCACTGACAGGACATGGTGTCCAAGATGCTGCATGTGGACCCCCAGCAGCGCCTGACCACCCTGCAAGTCCTGAAACACCCGTGGATCGTCAACAGAGAGCTGCTGTCCCAAAGCCAGCTGAGCAGACAGGACGTCCACCTGGTGAAGGTGCGCCCTGGGAGTGAAGTCGGCCTGCAGCCGCCCAGGCAACCTGTAGCGGCCAGGGCTGGGTGTGACCCCGTCCCCAGATGCCGGGCTCCTCACACCCCTCGTGCCCTCCAGGCCCGCCGGGGGAGGGGGGAGCTGGCACTCGTGTCCTCGTGCACTGGGGGGCCCTCGGTTCCCCGCTTTTCCTGGGGAGACACTGAGGCACGGATGGCAGGGCTGCAGCCCCAGGCCAGGCACTGGGCTCCATATCCGCCTGCCCAACCCTTCTCTTGCAGGGTGCAATGGCGGCCACCTACTTTGCCCTGAACAGGACGCCGCAGGCGCCGCGGCTGGAGCCGGTGCTGTCCTCCGGCCTGGCCCAGCGCAGGGGCATGAAGAGACTGACCTCCACGCGCTTGTAGCCGCCACGGTCACGCTGCCAGCGTCCTCGGCCCTGGGGTGCCGCGCCCGGCCGGCTTGTGGCCCCCGGTGACCTCAGGCACGCACAACGCTGGGCCGGCCTCGCTGTTCCTCTGTGCCCCTTTGGCCTGGACACCCCAGGCCACACCACGTGGACCTGCTGCCTGCTCTCCTTTCCTCCCAGCAAAACCAAATGGCCACAGTCACCGCACCGTGCCGCGGCCGCGACCCCTCGAGGCTTGGGTGTTCCCTGTCAGGCTCAGATCCGTGTCAGGAGATGCCCACCAGGCGTGAAGCCCGCGATGGGGCCCAGGACCACAGCCAGCCAGGTCCTGGCCAGGTGACGGCAGAGCCCTCCGCGAGACCCTGACGCACGGGGCAGCTGGAGGCCCCGGAGGCCACGCGACGGGCCGGCACCAAGGTGTCCTGCCACAGATCATCCAAAGAGCGCCCACCCCTCCCCAGAGGGAGCCCCCAAGTCAGGACAACCCAGTCTTTGTTCCCAGAGCCTCCCATGGAGCCGAGTGCCGGCCAGGGCCGGCTGAGCTGGGGTCCACTCATGCTGGGCTCCCTGCGGAGACCCCCTGCCCCGCAGGCCCATGGCCACCCTCGGCCACAGACACACAGGATCTCTCTGGGGAGCCAGGGCTCTGCCGCTGGCCAGGACACCAAAGGCGGCTTTAGTGTGCACCCTTGCGGTTTCTGGTCCGCAGGGCAGCGCAGAGGCCGGGGGCTTCATGTGCAGACCCCTCTCTCCCCCGAGAGGCCGGGGGCTTCGTGTGCAGACCACTCTCCCTGGAGAGGCCGGGGGCTCCGTGTCTATGGACAGAACCGATGCCGTGGTGGTGTGGTTTTGCGTGTATTTTGTGTCTCTGTTCCGTAGCTGTTTGTGCGAGGCGATTCTGTGGTATTCAGTGTTTTGCTCTGTGTGTGCACAGGAGAGTGGAGTGGGAACTTCCTGAGGGCAGGTGAGCCCCCCCTTCCCCTCCCCTCCTCCCCCTTCCCCCTCCCTCTCCCCCCTCCCCTTCCCCCCTACCCCCAACCCCCCCCACCCCCGCCACAGAGGCGTGGTGTACACTCTCCAGCTCCAGGGAACACTGAGGATTCCCCACCCCACCCCAGGGCTGGGGAGGGGCCGGTGGTCACAGCAAGCTCTGGGACACATCCCTAGAGGCCCTGAGAACCCCAGCGGCCTGGTGGGTCTCTCCAGCCAGAAAGACACCGGACACGCCGCTCCTTTCCTTCCAGCTCAAGTCACTGTAGGGCCAGCCTCTGCCCCTTAAAAAAAGTACTGCAGTATGGAAACTAAGTCCGTAGCTTGATCTAATTATTTCAGACCTTAAACCAAAGTTTTGTTGGTTTTTTTTGGTCGTAGGCCCGAACTCTGGGCCTGGGCATTGTCCCTCAGCTCTTCAGCTCAAGGCTAGCACTCTACCACTTGAGCCACAGCGCCACTTCTAGCTTTTTTTTGCTTATGTGGTGCTGAGGAATCGAACCCAGGGCCTCATGCATGCAAGGCAAGCGCTCTACCACTGAGCCACCTTCCCAGCCCCAAACAAAGTTACTTTGCCAGCTTTAGTCCTTGCTCCATGAGGCTAAGGGAGCATGCCACGCGGCGTGGGGACCAGCCCGTCCACAGCCGCGGCCCTCGGTGGGAAACCTCATCGGTTGGGGATTTAGGTCCCAGTTCTTTCATTTCTGCTCATGATGTAGGAGAAAAGAAAGGGCTGGGTGCCATGGGGGGGGGGCACTAGCCCTGCAAGGCAAGTCCCGCCTTTGCACCCAGCACCACCAGGGAGAAAAGGAAGAACTGAGGGCTTGGCTATCCCAGGCCCAGCTGGCTTCCCCAGCACCCAGGTTCCGGCCTGGCCGCCTTTGCTGTGGGTCCCACTAAAGGGGGAGGCGGGGAGGAAGGAGGCGCCTGGAGGTGGGCCCAGGCTGGTCTGTGGGCTCGCCCACAACTACTTCCTGAGTCCTGAGCCGGCCTGCCAGAGGGACCCGTGAGGCTGCCAGGCCCAGCTCCATCCCCCGTGGACCGCCCACCCAGGTCAGGCCAGCCAGGCCGGCTGCGAGTGAAGGCGCTGGCGACTGTTCCTAGAGAGCAGGGGTGTGTAGCGAGGGCCCGTGCATCCACCGTGAAGGCTACCTGCACCCGTGCCCACCCGCAGCGCGGCCCCTCCGCCCCCAGAGGAAGCCCAGCCCGCCCGACTCCTCTAACCCAGGGCCGCCACACACACACAGGGCCGCTTGCTGGGGGCAGCCTGTGCTGGGAGGACCCTGGTCACCCACACCCAGGACTCCACCAGGCCCTGACACCCCAACACACACACACACACACAGGACCCCACCAGGCCCTGAACCCATACCACACACACACATAAACACACCCAGGACCCCGCCAGACCCTGACACCCCAACACACCCAGGACCCCGCCAGACCCTGACACCCCAACACACACACACAGGACCCTGTCAAACCCTGACCTCACACACACATAAACACACCCAGGACCCCACCAGGCCCTGACACCCCAACACACACACACACACACAGGACCCCACCAGGCCCTGAACCCATACCACACACACACATACACACACCAAGGGCCCCGCCAGGCCCTGACCCCCCCCACACACACACATACACCCAGGACCCTACCAGGCCCTCACCCCCCACACGCACAATACACACACCCAGGGCCCCGCCAGGCCCTGACCCCAAAGTAGGCAAAATGGGAGGCTTCCACTCATTAATGATGGTCAGACTTGTACATGATTTTAAACGATGTATTCGCGGGTGGCCAAGTGTGAGCCTTTTTCAAGATGGCAATACCCACGGTGTTATTCCTGTAGATGTTCGCTGGGGTTTACCGGCTGCCCTTCCGGTTCTGTGAAGCACACTATACAACTTGTTCACGCTTCCTTGGCTTTCTGACACGCTTTGTTGCCCCTTGCCTTCCTAGGTGGCCTAAGACCCCTAGACTAGAGAGGGACCCGCTGGTCCCTGAGCGTGCGGGAAGGGCTGGGGTGCAGTGTGCCCTGGTCCTGGTGGCCACCTGGCCCAGTCCCTCCCCACTCTCCCCACCTCCTCCTCCCGCTCTCCTCCTCCCCCACTTTGTTTACAAGCTCCGCAGCCAGGTTTACACTTCATTTGGTGTCCACACTTTCTGTGTTGTGTGCGAGAGGGTTGGCCACTGTACAGATATTTATTATGCTTTCCAGATTTCTGAGATTTTTGAATAAACATGGGTTTTCTGAAGCGTACTCTTTTTCTAGCGTAAGAACTCTGCGCTCAGTCATCACTGAGAAGGAGGCCAGCCCTTCGCTCCTCTGCCTGCGGCGCCTTCCACCCCTGCCGCCCTCCTGCCCCCACGCGGCAGGCCTGGGCGAGGGCACAGTGCCCCGGCTGCTCCCCTGTGTGCATGTGCACACGTGCGCGTGTCTCGTGGGGAACACACAGCCGTGTGTGAATACACACATGCATGTGTGGGTGTGTAAGTTCATGCCTACAGGTGAACACGCATGTGTATGACCGTGTGCATGTGTTCATGAATGTGGGGATGTGAGTTGAGCACACATGTACATACTGTGCGATGCTCATTTGAGGGTGTGCCCAGAGTGTGGAGCGTGTGCTCCGGTGTGGAGCATGTGTGTGGACTGGGGCAGGTGTTGGCAGAAGGTGGTGTCCAGTTGGGGTGCAGATAGACAGGTGACCCCGAGGGCCTGGCCACCAGGCCCCACAAGCCTTAACAAAGCACACGCCCCAGGGCACGGCTCCGCCTTCGTGACTGCCCGACCAGTTACAGCAATGAGCACCACGCACATGTGTATACACCACACACGATCCTCACGCACCTGTGTGCACTCACACACCAGACACTATCCTCACGCACCTGTGTGCAGTCACACACCACACACTATCCTCACCCACCTGTGTGCAGTCACACACACTATCCCCACCCACCTGTGTGTACTCACACACACACACTATCCCCACCCACCTGTGTGCAGTCACACACACACTATTCTCACGCACCTGTGTGCACACACACTATCCTCACGCACCTGTGTGCACTCACACACACTATCCTCACCCACCTGTGTGTACTCACACACACACTATCCTCACCCACCTTGGTGCACACACACACACTATCCTCACCCACCTGTGTGCACTCACACACACACTATCCTCACCCACCTGTGTGCACTCACACACACTATCCTCACGCACCTGTGTGCACTCACACACCAGACACTATCCTCACCCACCTGTGTACACTCACACACACACTATCCCCACCCACCTGTGTGTACTCACACACACACTATCCTCACGAACCTGTGTGCGCGCACACACACACCATCCTCACCCACCTGTGTGCACTCACACACACACTATCCTCACGCACCTGTGTGCACTCACACACACTATCCTCACCCACCTGTGTGCACTCACACACACACCATCCTCACGCACCTGTGTGCACTCACACACACACTATCCTCACCCACCTGTGTGCAGTCACACACACACCATCCTCACGCACCTGTGTGCACTCACACACACACTATCCTCACCCACCTGTGTGCACACACACACACTATCCTCACCCACCTGTGTGCACTCACACACACACTATCCTCACCCACCTGTGTGCACTCACACACACACTATCCTCACCCACCTGTGTGCACACACACACACTATCCTCACCCACCTGTGTGCACTCACACACACACTATCCTCACCCACCTGTGTGCACACACACACACTATCCTCACCCACCTGTGTGCACTCACACACACACCATCCTAACCCACCTGTGTGCACTCACACACACACTATCCTCACCCACCTGTGTGCACACACACACACTATCCTCACCCACCTGTGTGCACACACACACACACTATCCTCATCCACCTGTGTGCACTCACACACACTATCCTCACCCACCTGTGTGCACTCACACACACACTATCCTGACCCACCTGTGTGCACTCACACACACTATCCTCACCCACCTGTGTGCACTCACACACACTATCCTCACCCACCTGTGTACTCACACACACACTATCCTCACCCACCTGTGTGCACACACACACCATCCTCATGCACCTGTGTGCACTCACACACAAACCATCCTCACGCACCTGTGTGCACTCACACACACACACTATCCTCACCCACCTGTGTGCACACACACACACTATCCTCACCCACCTGTGTGTACTCACACACACACTATCCTCACCCACCTGTGTGCACTCACACACACACTATCC